CTATCAAAACTATCATAGTCTAAAATTATCATCTCATATCAAAACTGTCATAATCACGTTATCTGACTTTATCAGTTATAAAAATGAGAAACAGTAAACAATTTGGCATGAATGAATGACTTATAATTGTGCTTACCTGGTCCAGATGGTCCACAGCCGCTTTGCATTTGTTGTAATCCAGGATGATCTGGGGCTTTCTCTTCCCAAAGTCCTGGACCTGTGGCTCACGGTGCCTGGTGCTCAGCACAACAACATTTTTTCTTCTTTTGGGGACATAAGATACGACAGCCCTGTTGCGGCTAAAGCCAAAGACAGACGACAGAACGTCTCTGTCTCGAATGTTCAGAAGCTGTGGGGGCAGCTCAGGTTTATTCAACCGTAGCGTGCCCACCAGGGCCATCCTCCTCTTCCTCAATTCCTCTGCAAGAGGAAATGAAGTAAAAAAATTGTCAGTGGTGACTGTGTGGCCCTGCAGCCCCTCTGTTAACTCCAGCACCACCCGCATGCCTTGGTTCATCTCTCTGTTCGCTGATGCAGACTTTCCTGTGTAGACTTGAAGCCTCCACGCATAGGAGGTCTGCACATCGCAGAGGGCCCAGATCTTTAGCCCATATTTAGCCGGTTTGGAGGGCATATACTGCTTGAATGAACAGCGGCCCTTAAAAGGGACCAGCTGTTCATCTACACAGATATCCCTCCCTGGGTTGAAAAATTTGGGCAGGCGGTCGCTCCATTTGCTCCAAATATCTTTTATAGGCGTCAGCTTGTCCCCCCTGTAGCGACCTGGGCGAGAAAGTCGATCATCGAATCTGATTGCCAGATTAATTTGAGCAAATCTTTTCTTTGACATGGTGGCAGGAAATAGAACTCGTCCTGTCTCCCCATCCCACAGGCTTGTTGTTGATTCATGTTGGGACCTGTACATGCCAGCCAGGACCAGAAGCCCCATGTAGGCTCGCAGCTCCTCCTCATCTGTGTCCTTCCACTCTTTCACCGACCTTTTTCCCTGCAGGTTTGTAAAATGCAGGATTAACTGCATAATGTCCTCCGCAAAAAAAAGATTGAAACTGCTCACAGGGCTACTGATCCTAGCAATTGCATAGTGAGTTGGTCCTGGGGTCAAAATGGGAGGAGGAAAAAAGGGCAGGACCTCTTCATGGGTGGGTTGCCACATGATTTCTCCATTTTTTGATGTCCACTGATGGTCAGCCTCCAGTCTTGTCTCTTCTTCCTCTTCTTCCTCCTCCTCCTCAGACAAGCTGCAAAGCTCCTCTGTGCCTGGCAAATATTCCTCCCCTTCGCTGTCAGAAAAATCTCCACTGCTTGGAGTGGTATCTTTTTCGCTTTCTGAAGAGTGCAAAACTGCAGCAACAGCCTCCTCTAAACTGAGTGTACGCTTCATGGTGTCTGTGCAGAAATGACCACTAAGACCAGGCTGCAAAGTATTCTCATAGACTTCAAAGGTGCACCTGCATAAACATGCTATACCATGCATCCAATAAGAGAGAGGAGGCTCTCTCGATCAAGAAAAAACATAAACACAGCCCCTTTGGCCTTTGATAATCTCTCTCCCTCTCTCTCTCACTCACTCACTCACACACACACACACACACGCACATGCACACATGCACACACACACACACAGACACACACAATACCATTTTATGGTGGTTAGATGTTTTATTGTCATGCATTTTGCAAGGTAAGATAACCATGTCCTGCATTCAAAACCACTGAAAATGTCTATGGTGGTGCTGTGCCTAATATTGTGCTCATTTGATCCAAAACCTATTTTTCCTTTATTTTGAAGGCAGAGGCTTAGATCCATTAGGTATTCACGAGAAAAGCATTATCACATGTCAGGATTACAGTATATCGAAAATATGTGATTATAATGGGAGTCAATGGGGCCCAAAATGGTACAAGGGCAACCAGAGGTAGTAAATATGTGAATCTCCTTTACTATACACCACACCATAGAGGGGATCATTGAATTTTAAAAAATATTCCTAAAACACACATCCTGGCCAAGTATCATGCAACTGGTCTTTAAAATGACTGATATATTATAGAATCAAACATCCAAAAGTACCCAAAATGGTCCCTGGATCACTAAGGTGACTTAAGAGCTAGTGAACTGTCTCCCACTTCTGAAACAGCTGAGGTTTGTACAACCAGCATTTCCGTAAACACCAATGAAAATGAACTGTTGACCATCCTCCTTACTGAACCATACAACCTTATTATTAATATTAACATTAATATAGGGGAAGCAGAAAATGGCACATCCAGAGTTCACGAAAGAATTCATGAAAGATTAAATTTGACACCTGAAAGTGAGGAAAGAAACAAACAGTCACCCTCTGAAACAGCCAAGGCTCCTACAACTACTGTTCATATGAACAACGTTGAGCAGGAGTAGTCTCCCACCAGTGAAGCCCAGGTTCCTACAACCAGTGATAGCAATGAAAGACCTCAGCCAGGAGAAGGGTATAGTTTTTTCTTTGTTTGAACCGAAAAGGGAAGAAACAATTGTATACAGATTTAAAAGTCCGCAAAGCAACGAACAGTTGCTTTGCACACACACACACACCAAACACACACCACTTGCTATAGCAACATTTTCGCATGAAATTCAATATCCTTAGCATATAATGACATCACAAATATTCCCCAGCCAGTCGCAGCAGATGGCAGATGAGTCTGGTTCTGCTGGAGGTTTCTCTCTGTTAAAAGTGAGTTTTTCCTCCCCACTGTCGCCCTAGTGCTTATTCATAGTAGAGGTGGGAATCACCATACATCCCACGATACGATATTATCACAATACTTAACGCACGATACGATATTATTGCAATTTTTTAAAATATTTTGCGATATTCAGATTCTGTACATAAAGGTAAACTTTATCAATATTCATTTTATCTAATATCAAAGTCTCACACTCAGTCTTTCTCTCATTTCAGTTTTATTGTTGACAAACTGAACGGTTTGTATTACAGTCTAGTCCAACTTAACTGAACGCAACCATCTGGTACAATTATAGCTATTCTGAACTATGCAGTTTATGAAAACTATGCAGCCCCTTCAGCAACTGAAGAATTTGAAAGTAAATTAAAACAAAATATAATTTTACATTAAATAAAAAAGTTTTAAACTTAATTAAAATAAAACATGTCTTAAATTAAAATAAGTAAACTGTCATGTTTATTGCGGCCAAAAAAAAGTTAAACACATTTGGACAGTGAAGGAATGTCAGGATTCTTGCTCAGAAAAAGGATCAACATGCTCTGAAGTCAGAGCACAAAAACTTTTTTTGTAACAAAATATCGATTTCTGCTGTCCCTGTATTGATACATTATTAGCAAACAAAATATCACGATACTACAAAGTATCGATTTTTTCCCCCACCCCTAATTCATAGGAGATCATTTGATTGCTGGGGGTTTCTCTTTAATACTGTGTGGTTTTAACCTTACGGTATAAAGAGCTTTGAAGTGCCTGTTGTAACTTGGCACTATTAGATAGACTTCAATAGGCTTCAACTGACAAAACATTGAAAAAAAATCAATCAATCAATAAATAATGGTTTGTGTGTGCGTTTTTGATTTTTCTATACCAGGGCAAGTGCTAAAGCTTAATGGGTTAATTATTATAGCCCATAATTGTAAGAATAATATGTGGCTTTTAACAGATTATTCTTGTAACAAATGTGACTGTGCTGAGTGGCTGTGGCACTGTGCACAGGATAAAACCTCTTGATTTTAGTGTCATGTAGAACTGGATTCAGGCCAAAGATTGCATTTAAGTAACATCAGTGATTAGAAGCCAGTCTTTTGATCTTTTTTTTTTTTTTAAGTCTTTCTGATAAGGTTATTTTAAAGTTTATTTTTTAAGTCATAGACCTATTTATATTGGTTTCCCTGGTTTTAAACAGAAAATTTAAGCTCTTCATTAAAACAAATGCAGTGTTTACCCGTACAGGTACTGACAGCCACTAGAGGTCCCTTTACTCAACGTTTACATTCATCAGTAACTTCCTTCTCAAATGCCAAATGCTAATGCTTGCCAGATTAAAAACTCAGAAAGCCTTTCAAGAAGACAGAGTAAAGATTAATTTATAATATCTTCATTTAGACTGAGTATTTATCAGATTTTTGCTGACATGACTCTACTTCAGAATATTTATATATTTTTGCGTTCAACGTTTGATAATGTGTCATGCGCATAAGCATCAGCTCTAAGAGCCGTGCTTAGAGAATGCTTTGTAGTAAATCAGAAGAGTCGACTCCCATTGAGCGAGAGCCGGCTCCTCACTTTATTTCCTTTCGCTGCTCAGCTCTCACACAGTGGCTCAGCTATGCTCCAATCCCTCCATATTGTGGGCAATCACATGCGAGGATATAGGATAATATCATTATGTGAAAAACAGAGAGGGTGAGAGACGCGGCAGTCAAGTGGAGCGCGCGTCTGTCCTCTCAGTTATTGAGTGACAGTAGACAGCGGTGAGGAGGGCTGTGCGAGTGCATCGCAAAAATACATAAATATGCCTGACACCTGTAAACGAAGCAGCATCTGGCTGCAGTTTAAATACTTTTGTCTCGACTTTGTCTTGGTCTTGACTCGGTCTGTCCTGATCTTGGTATTGTCTTGGTCTTGGTTTAGGCAGTCTTGACTACAGGTCTAATGATCTCATCCACTTGCATATCTGGTGTGATCAGAGGTGGCAAAAGCACAGCTATTAGGTACAAGTTGTACAGTTATTAGTGTTAAGAAATACTCCAGTAAAAGTTGAAGTATTAAACTGACAACTGAAACTCTTTGAGTACATTGCAGAGCCTCTTAAAAAGTACACCCTCTGAAATGCACTTAAAGAAAGTAAATGAGTAAATGGGTCTAGTTTATGTTGCCTACATTGTCGAGGATGACTTTACATCTAAACAGGAAAATGAGTACAATCAGGGGTTAAAGTTGCATTCAGCAGGTGGCGGAACCCTAAATTTGGTTGTAATGGCTCACTGTGGGGAAACACGACTGAAAATAAATTCTACTGAGAGCTCCTGCAGATTTTCTTAGTGTAGAGGCAGTGATCAGCTGATCTGCTGCTCTTTGTGGATGGACACAACTGAACTCAGCATGATGTCAGCAGATGTTTCATGAGTTGTCCTGGCTGATTTCCATCCTCTGCACTAACAATGCACTGTTCATACTGTCTTTTTTTCTAGATGGTATAAAGTTGGTATGTTGGTGGAATTCAGTCAATGGATCTCAGTATTATCAGCTAAAAGTCATCTTTAGTCTGACAATGAGCACCACAGTCACGGTGTATCAGTCACATACTGTTCTTTTCTCTGCACTAACCTGCAGAGTTTTTCAAGCAACCTATAAATAGCAGTTAGTCTGCCTCAGTTTGATTTGCAGCATGTTTCATGATACGAAAAACATAATGCCACATCCAGTATCTGATTTAAAACATAAGGACTTGCATGCAAGCTTTAAATTTTCAGTTTATCAAATACCATCGAGAAGTCATTACCTTTAAATATAACCTCTCTTCTTCCTCTCCTGACCTCTTTCTTATCTTGCTCCATCTCTGAATGAATTTAGCTCTTTCCATTTTGTTCCTGTGAAATACAACAGCTGGAGCTTTAGCTAGCAACACACTGTGAGACAAACAGCACACAAACAGTTTGTGTGTTTGCTGAGCTGATAGAAATGCTATCTGTTCCGATAGTAATAACTTAAAAGTAGGGCTGTCAGCGTTAAAGCGTTAATGC